CCTACACTTATTCTCCACCTATTTCTTACTTTTATGTGAAAGGGAAGTTAAGCTGTTGACTCCAAACAGCAGTAACACTGTTCTCTAGGTGGGCAGGAGACACTTGAAGACTTGATATTTACTTTCCCTCCCCAGAGATATTGTATCAGTCATGACTCAGAACAACTGAGGCCTCCTCCTGGGAAGAAGACAACCAGAGTTGTCTCAGACAAAGCTGTGATTCTCAACCCAGGTGCTGCAAGATCCTTTTAAGGTTAATATGCAATATTAGTGCTGTTAGGGGTGCAAACACAATTCACAAAATAAGCCCAGAGATTCTGAAGAGGAATGCATACTATCAAAAAACATTCTGACCTCTTGTGATCTTTCTGAGTTCTCTGCTACAGAAGAATTGTTCTATTATTTTTCTGTAGTCAAAAGCTAGGAGCTTGTATTTTCCAATGGGTGCCTTGATTTTAAAAAGATTGAAAACCACTGACTTAGCACAGTGGGCACCTATGTACTTGTCACAATAGAAATAATACTCACCACTCAGTGAGCTTGGTGCTGCCAGGAAAGGAAGGGATTACTGTCTTACTGATGCACAAACCATCAATGATACAAAAACATGGCTACGCTCACTACTGATGAACATTTGCACTGAATTTTATCTCAGGCATGGGTGAATTTCAGTAGCAACTAGAAAGATCGTTATTTAACTAGACTTAGAGAATACTTAAGAACACCTAAAATGTGCATCTGTCACTTGCCCTACATGCATATGCGAGGGAATAAAGGGAGGGACCAGAATGTGCCCTTATCCTCATGTAGGCTTAGCAGCCTGGGGACAAAGGAGAATAGGCACTGATGGTATGCTGCTTCCCTACCATAGTACTGATCAATGGGGAGGGATGTAAAACAGGCAAAGCCTTTGCTTTATGATGCCCTAAGGCATTAATCAATGGAACTGAACCACCTAAAAAAGAAAAGAATGAGACTGCGGAGGAAGTCTGGAGTGCCAGTCCAGGCCTGGCCTGCATAGTTTTGTTTCTAGCACCACAACCTTAACCTGCATGCCTATGCCAGAAAAATCCCACCTGTAGACATAATTTATGTACAGCTTTTGATGCGTCCACAGGTGGTTTAACGAAATGAGCAAAATGTTCCTTGTGTTGATAAGCTACATATCCACTGGTACTGTACTAGAGATTGTATTGTGTAGGCTAATACTGCACTCAGCCATGTTTCCTTCTATGTACTGTTCCTTGGGTGACACATCCCAAGTACTGACCCTTAGGATAAGTTACAAGCATTGCCAAGTCTAACCATTTATTAAAAACAACAGGCTACATTTTACTGTGGAATGCATCCTTCTCTGTTAAAAGCACTACAATACAGATCGCCTTACTGTGGGTGAAGTTGTTTTCATTTGTCTGTTGTGCTAGAATGCTGTAGGGCAACTCGGAGGCAATCAAAATAAAGTGCACCAAAAGCTAGACTCATCAGAAATGCAGACAAGTTACTCATTCATGTTAAGCTTAGGATGAAGTACTCCATGATTTTCACGAAGAATTTTTTATAGTTAAATCAAAATAAACTTAAAAACAAATATTTTACTTCTACATGTTATTGTTTAACATGCATAAACTAATTATATACATAAGATTCAAATTAGTATTTCCTTTCATTAATATAAACATTAGCTATTGCCAAATAGAAGTTGTCATATTGAATGTAATATTTGAATGTTTGTAATAGTTGCCCATTAGCCAGTTTAGGAAGAAGACAAGATTTATCATCTTATCTAGGCCATTGTTTTGGTCTACGTGCAGAAGGTCCTGACTTTGCTCAAAGTCTTAACTCTTTAATTTTATCTTTAGAGGGCTTTAACAAAGTTAACATAAAAATTACCCTTAAGCAAACATCCCACACTCCGAGAAATCAAACCTAGGAGCCTTTTAAAAGACTGGAAATAAAAGTCAATTCAGTGATATGGAAATTCCTCAAAGTAATTAAAATGGTCAACAAAAGAAACTAATTACCAATCAAAAGAATCTGTTAAGTAAGATCTGAGCCCAAATTTGGGAGTAGTGACAGGTTTGGGTAGGAGGGGCCCAAGACGGCAATTCACTCAATAAAAACTGTAACCTACTGTCCCAATTTGGAGGTAACTTCACTTGCAGAACAACAAAGGAAGAATTGCAAGTGTAGGCCGGATCAGATTGATCACCTGAACCACCCTCTCCGTGAACACGAATCTCTTAGTTCATGCTGAAGCCGCGGAGCACCCGAAAGGGACTGAAGGAAGGGGACTTAGTCCTATCAGTATTGAAGCCAGACCATTGAACCATACTACTGAGGAATTAAACCATATTTAGGTGTTTGGCTTCACGGAATTCTAGGATTGTAAGTATATTATGAAAATAATAGTATTGATTCAAATTTAACTTTTAGTTGTAATTGTAATTGTTTTTGTAAAGTACATTTGGAGCATTGTTTCTGATATATGTAGTTATTGTGTTCTTAATGTTTGTGGTATTTCTTAAAGCTAAGCAGTGTTATATGTGTAGCAAAGAATTTTAAAATAAAATTGTGTTATATGAATTAAGTGTGCAATCATTGTGAAATTGTGCAGTCAACTAGATACTCCCCCAGCCAGTGCATCAAATGAATCAGTAAGTTGTGTGGGATCTTCTCTATTCCATAACCCACTAGAGACAGAAGTCACATTAAGGAAATACTTCATTAGGGATAGGAAGACCATTAAGAGCAGAAAATATGTTTTCAATCATACTCTTCATCATGAGCCGCCGTGCATGTTTAGTAGCAGTTCCAATGTGAGGAGTAATTATAATGTTCTTTAATTTTAACAAAGGATGATCTCTGGAAAAAAAGGAAAATAGAAACATTAGAGATGAAACTCAAAGCTTGTATCAGCTATTATTATTATTATTATTATTATTATTATTATTGTTACATTTTAATATGAAATTATTGCTTGGTTAAAGCATATACAGAGTGGACTTAACTGCTGTACTCCAAGCCTGATCCTACAGCTTTTAGGCAGCAAAACTCCTAAAGAAGTTTACATAAATTGTGTTTATTTAAAAGGACTGTTGGGTTGGGGTCTAGGTTGCTAATCCTGACAAATCTGTGTATATAGGCAGTCCTGTTGATTTAAATGGGATCAATATATTAATAATAATTAAATATGATGCAGCTTCTCATTCATGTGAATACTCCCAGACACTTATTTAAAACTTTGTGTGCACCCACATGCTTTTTGATTTGACTATTTTCTACCTTGGCAGAGGTTCAGGGTAAGTTACATCCAGTGCAGCAGCCTTGATAACTTTATTCTGAAGTGCTTCCACCAGTGCATCTTGATCAATCACTGGGCCTAGATTACAGGAACAAAATCTGCTAAATAAAAAATGCTGTAATGTACATTTTAATATATCAATGTACTTCCATCTCTGTCAGAAAAAGTACTGATTCTAAAAATTGGCAATAAAATTACAAATAAAAGGTTTTATACTAAAATTCCAAGGTTCTAGATGAGACAAGTGCTTTTTAAATAGATGATACATAAGTTTTGCTTATTGGATTAATCTGTCTTTAACAGAGTAAGCTTCAGAGGTCATTTTTTAACTGTCTGGTCAAAGGTAATAGAACAATTTAACCCTCCTGCTGTGCCTACTGCCCCAAACTCCTGTAAGAAAAACTGCTGTTATTAGCCATGATGCTACAGACCATTTAAAACTATGCATTACTTTAACCATAATAATCCTATCCATGATTTCCAAAAGCACTTACAGCCATACTTAATTTTAAGCATGCAAATTTCCACTGTATTCTAACAGGAGTACTCATATGCTTCAATTTATGAATGAGTTTTAAGCACTTTGCTGAATCAGGGCTATAGACAGAAATTTTACAGAAAAATTCTACCTGGCATTAGGGGTTGATTTTTCTCCAGAGACTCTTAAATTTAAAAGAGAGTTGCATTTGGCAAACAGTTATCCTGTACCCTACCTCTGCAGATGTTAATGAGAGTAGCAGTGGGTTTCATCAGCTCTAGTTCTCTTTTCCCAATCAGTTTGTGTGTCTGAGGTGTCAGGTTCACAACCAACATCACAAAATCTGACTGCTGGAGCAAGTCTTCCATTTTTTCACAGTAACAAGCACCAACAGCCTGCTCCTCTTCCTCCTTTCTGAAGGAAAGCAAAATTCAATTTCAGTGGTAAACAGCAAATACTGGAGGAGTTTCAAATTAGCGATGTAAATACTAATTAATTAAGTACCAATTTAAACTCCCCTAATGCTATCAGTTAAACATGATAACATGTATCTACTGGGGACCAGCTCCCACCTGTACTTGCTCATTCTCTGGGCAGCAGCAGTGGGCTGGGAAGGTCCCTCACCTACTGCTGGCATCCATGTGCAGCTGCCCAGGGGCCGGGGCTGCAAGTGGCTGCAGTGGGGTCTGCAGAGCCCTGGCCCAGCTTATTGCCAGCAACAGGTACATGTGCACCTCAGGGTGGACAGCATGGAAAGGGCCAGGGCTATTATGCCTCCACAAGAAAGATTGGGACCCTTGCTGCTCCTCCACGGCCTCCCTGCCATACTAGGTACAAGTACCCCCTACTCCCTCCCTCCTCCCTGCCAGCCCTGCCGCCTTTAGGGGCACTGTGCCGCTTCCCTTCTCCCCATTCCT